AGGGATGAGATGAGAATGGAATACCAGACACAGGCCTCCCAATTCTCAAAGCGCTGGTTAGTCTAGGGGAGCAACCACAGCCTGGAGTGGCGACAGCACTTTACAGTTTGCTAGATGGGTTTGCACACACGGGTGGAGAGCAATGACTCTCTGGTGACGCCTGCTGTCTGAGCAGCCTGGGCTGTTGGACAGACTGTGAGCCTCGGGTGCTCCCGTCACTGGCTGTGAGCCCCAACTTCTATACCTGAAGACAGGCTACACTAACCACCTTGCAGGCTAAGTCATGTGGGTGACATATCCAGGATCACACAAGCCTTGGAATGACTCGTGACAATGGAGCTCACCCACCTGGCTTCCAGGCAAGCCCCCCCCCACACACACACACACACAACACATTTCCTCAGGAGCCCAGGCCTGGTCGTCCCCAAACTCCCTGCTTTTGTTTCAGCAAATCCCAGTCCCTGACTAACAGCCTCAGCACATCGGACGCTTCCCAGCGTGGAACCCCAAGCGAAGACGAGGCCAAGGCCGAAACCATCCGCAACCTGAGGAAGTCTTTTGCCAGCCTGTTCTCTGACTAACGGGGTCCAGCCTGGGAGAGGGTGCTGTTACACTCTCCCCTCTCCCCCCTCATCTTCCTTCTCAGCCTTGATTTCTGACGGGAACAGAATGGAGGGCCTGAGACTATACTTTCTAATGCCTCTGACCCAGGAACTGAGTATCTATACGTGTCCCCTTCCCTTCTCCACGACATTCAAGCTTTGTCCGGCTGAGACTGGGCCTTTGAGAGCCTCCAGGTTCCTCAAAACGAGCCTCAGTGGTGGACATCCATCACCCCTCCTCCCCCACAGATGCTTGCTTCCTGGCCACAGATAACCCCGTGAGATTTGTGTGTGGCTAGTTTTCATATCTGTTAGTGTTTTGCTTGCCTTTGGGCAAAGGCCCCCCTAGGCCTGCCCACCTCCATCAAATGCAGACACTGTAGTCGGACCTCAGCAGTATCGGAGGCAATAATCTACTGACAGTGTTTTGCAAACAAAAGGAGAAAAGCCGGGCCAGGGGAGCCTCTCATCCATCTTCCATGCTAGTTTCATCGGAGACCTCACCTGACTTGCAGGCAAGGGCCCATCACAACTGGCCACCGGTGGGATCTTGATGAGGGAAAGCCACGTCCTGTGAGACACGTGGGGCCATGGGGCCTTTCAAGTCACAGCAGAGACCCGAGGGGAGACGGTGGGGATGCTGCTCCCACTAGAATGGACAACGAAGAGCAGAGCACAGGTTCTTTTCAGGAATAGTTTCTAGTTCCCAGATGAGGATGACGCCCTCACTTCCCAAAGAAGGAGTTAGGGCTTCTCCACCCACTATTACTAGCATATCACCAGGAATTCTCTGTGAATTCCCACCAGGAATGTTGTTTACTCCTCAAGGATTTATGAGTAACCAGAGAGAATCAGATTAATGTCACAGGCTCCCCAGTCGGCATTTCACAAACTGCACAGCAAGACGCTGGCAGGTTTCTCCATTACAAAAGGGTCCCATGGCCAACCACGTTGGGAAACACTGTCTATTTCTTTTTGAGGTTGGTCATACACATTATATGTCAACGACTCTTGAAATTCCTATGTAAAGACATTAGACTTCGCTGTTTAACCCAAACCTATTTGAACAAGTTGACTGCAGAGCTGGAGAACACAGCCCTCATGCCCTTCCCAGGCTCCTTCCTGTACAGCACATGACCTCCCGTGATCACAGGGCAGCGCTGTCCCACATCACCAAGCACCTGGTGCTAGAAACACTCCTGGTTCCAGAACAGAGCCATGTGATCCCTTTGCAGTCCCCGTTGTGACTTGAAACATGCCTTCCCCTCACTATTCACAGGGAAGGGACAGAGGAGGTAAAAATGAAAGTGTCCGTGGCCTAGGCCTGCATTCTGAATGAAAGATAGAAAACTTGAGGGCAGGTGTAACACCGCAAAGCCCACCCCCACCATTTTAGGAGCTTAAGAACACAGAAAATACCTGAGGCAATCATCATGCTTATACAGACAAATATTGATAGAAGTCAAACAATCTCACCCACTTCTCAGTAATAAAATACAGCTTGAAACACCCAGCAAAGGGACACTAGGCTAGTTTCTCAAAGTGTGGGCCGTGGCTGTGCACAGCTAGCTTCATCTCACACCAACGGAGTCAGAATTTCTGGTCGAGACCCAAACCTCTCTTTGTCATCTCCCTGCATGCATGTGGGAGTTAGACTGGCACCCTGAGCTGAGATGTCTGGGAAAGCTGCTATTGAAAGCAGGATTGTGTGGATTCATGACAGACCCAGGTCCCACTCTCGGTGAGCAAAATTAGTGGCTCCATAAACAATGTGGCTTAAATTTCCTATTTTCCTTTATTCTGTCCCTTGTCCATAAAAACATCTCAACATTCAAACTGTATCTCCCAGATAGTCCAAGTAGAGTAGCACAAACTCCTTTGTATAGCCATGCACAGATGCTCCATGACACACTAGTTTATAACCAACACCTAAGGTTCCCCCTGGCCTGTATATGAAAGTCAAGACCAACAATGGTCTTGTGGAGACCAGAGACTCCCCCAAATGGACTGTTTTCTCACTTTTAACTTTAATAACTGACTTTTTTTTAAATGGGAAAGGACAAAAAGCAGGGGTGAAGGTAGTCACTGTGGCAGTTCTAAAAAGTTGGTTGGTTGGTTGGCTGGCTTTGTTTCACCGTTTTGATCCAAAGAAAGGCTTGCATTCCCCCTCCAAGCTGACTTGGTGAGGCTGAAGCATGCCAGATGCATGTGTATTGTGGTGAAGTGCAGCACAAGGAGCAGGGATTTAAACAGCCTCAACAGACCGCTCCACCAGCCAAATACCTTCTTCCAGATTGTCCTCGCAGTGTGTGAAACAGTCCTGTTTGATTAAATGTCAAGTCAGCCTTTCAGGGACATAGACTATACATCGTTTCTCCTCCATTAATTCCCTGTGTTCTCTGTCATACGACATTCGCTGCCAACCTTCAGTTCCTGCTCAGGGGCACTTAGTTCTACCTCTCCAATATTTCAGGGGTGATGAGCCTTCACACACGGTAACAAATACAATAGCAAACCCCAAAACCCCAAACATCAACCACCTGCTGGCAGTTCTCACTTGAATTTCCTATGAAAGGTATGCGAGGGGAAAGTAAGTTAGTGTAGGTACCTCATCGTGAACGACTAGGTGAATAAAACAGAGCACTGCTTGATACACAGTAGGTGGTCAGGACATGTTCAGGTTGGAATTAATAAAATGTAAACATATGTTAAGACTGAAGAAAAAGTCTGTTTTATTTCTAAGTGTATCAATGTGAGGAAGTCATTTGCCCAGGAACAGAATCAAACCTGCAGAGAGATTAGTAAACTGAGATAAGCTAAAGAAAATCTATAGCAGTTTTTTACCCTCAGGAAGAGGTTGCAGACTCTAAACTGAGTCTGAAAAGAAATGGGAGCAAGCAGGCTCAGGGGCCACAAGACCACCCCATAGTGAGCACAGCCCAAAGAGGTGAGTTCCTGGGGGTGGGGGTGGGGGAGATGAGGTGCCATTGTCAGCATCAGTCAGAAGAGCCTGGGGCGAGCAGACCAGGACAACACCAGAGTTTGCACAGAGAAGACCCAGGGCCTGGACTCCCATCCTGACCACACCCTGCACAGAGGCCCACAGCAGGGCAGAGCTTTCCATAGCAGAGCCCACTGGAGCCCTCCCCCAGGCAGTGCTTCCGGAGCCCTGCCTCTCCCTGCACTGGAGCAGCGGAGCTCCCAAAGCAGGTGGTTGCTCGTTCTGTTTTAGAGTTAGCTCAGCATTACAGATAACGCCAGGATTTCTATTGGAGGAATAGGCCATGGCCTAGGAGCACTTCCACATGTTCCAAATGTTTTATCCTGGAGTGCAGGCTGGCTGGTTACTAACCTAGCAAGTGTCAAAGCTATCTTTGACTCCTAAGCAGCCACTGATTAAATTCAGGGTTTCACCAATATTTAGGTTCTCAAAGAAGGCGGCACTTGTGGGTTTGGTCAGTGACAAAATGGAAGGTTAGGCAAAAAGCAATCAAATCAGTTCATTAATCCAACACAATGCACACAGGGCACAGAAGCTCCCTGTTTCTAGGCAAGCATGCAGCCAACCTGATGACACCTCGACACTAGTCCTGTGCCCAGGGCTCTCAAGCAGCAGGCCAAGAAAGGGACATGGCTGGAAACAGTGAGGCGTTCCTTAAGGGAAAAACAATCTACAACTAACACTCCTCCTACAATGTTTTCCTTTAAAATCTTAAATACCCTTCAATTTTATTCTGATCGGTCCTCCCATTTTTAATTTCAATTTCCAAACTCTCATATTTTATGTATCTACTCTTCATGGTCTCTCACTGAGTTTAGAGAAGAAAGTTAACATTGTTTTGCCTCTCAATATTTCGCTATGGAATAGCAGAAATTTAAGTGCCAGGATCTATTGGGGGATCCCAGGAGACACTGAGATTAAATCTTTATTTCAGGTGACTTACCTAGTACTTCCCAATAATCATATCTACTCCATATCTAGTCAGCTGGAGACTGTGAAGGAGCATGAACCATGCTTCCGGCCCAGCAGAGAAGTGGGACCTGCCGGCGCCTCCTCGAGGCTCTGTGGTTCAGGAGCTACTGCCCAGGGCAGGAGGAAGGCAAACCTTGACACTGGGCCCTGCGTATAGGGAGCAAAGGGAAGTGTCCAGCTCCGTCAGAATAAGAATTGGAGAAAGATAATAGGCTAAGCGGTGATCTCAGGAATTAGAGGCAAGAGTAAGAGGGCAGAACTCAACTGTGTTCCTTAAGGAATTATAAAATCTTAAGGTGGAAAGAAAGGATACAGTCCATGATTGATTTCCAGTCATGCCAAACCTTATCTTTCATCTGTGAACAAAGAAGAGGGTGGGAGGGGAGCAAGCTCCTGTTAAAAATAACTAAAGGGGGTCACAGAAAGTCGTTAAGACTACAAGCCAATGATATAGAACAGCATCGTACTAAAATGTGTAACCGCAGTGCTCTCAACTGTCTTGTTTCCATTACAATATATCAAAGTGATGTCAGAAAATCAGGGACTGGGCTACCGCCAAACCATGATTTCCTTCTCATTACACACCAGCAATATATAAAGCTCAACAGCCCAGGCTAATGAAAAGAACATAGATTTTACAAGCTTCTAACTATAAATTTAGCTATTCAAGAGGAAAAGCTTTGGGAGTTGTTTTAAGAATAAACTATTGTGAGAGGACTGCAAATTTAGGCGTATGGCACATTGCCCATACCTAAACTGAGACAGGCTGTAACTCGGGCCAGTGAGGCCGAGGTGAGGCTGGAAAGCAGCGCCATCTCTCTGGGACATCAGCACTGGCACAGACCTCTCAAGGACCATTCAAAAACTCTGGATTTGGAAAACTCATTGTTTTATAGTATTTGGTGCTTCACTGTGTCCTCCCACGCCAGCTACACACATACACACCACGTGCAACCTAACATCACAAGGGCAGAGAGGAGAACTAGGGTATATTTGGACCCATCAACGCTTCAAGGTGACTCTTTCAGCCCAGATCCAATTAAAGCCATACGGCGTCCAGTGCCCAGTACCATGGAAATGTCAACAGCCCCAATCCTTTGCCTACACATTAAGCTATTAACGGTGACATGGCTCTGGATAATTGCATTAGTGACTGAATTTTCTTCACTGTGATGAAAAAACAACACTATTATGTGTAGCAAAACATAAAAATAAAAATATTTTCACATGTATGTAGGACTCAAAATATTCTTGCAGCACATAACATTTCAAACCATTTCCTTATATGCAAAACAGATTTTTAAAATCAGGAAGACAGTGGCAATATTCCAATATACTTTCTGCAGATACTAATAATGTTTAGTTCCTGTGTTGTGATTCAGATTTTGTCCCTATAGCATGTTTCACAGTTGTTTGTATGATAAAACATTTCTGTTTGACCTTTTTCTTGTAGGAAAAATAAACCTTGAATTTTGTGTATTTTAACTCTTAAAAAAAAATAAATGTTCTTCAAATAAGAGTCTATCTTTGAAAAACAAGTACCTGACTAGCATTCAAAGCAGTAACACTTTGTTGTTAAAAGAGGTCATCTAGTTAGATTACAAATTAGGCACCAAGTGTCAAAACACAAGGGAAAAAAATCATAATTCCACTCCAGAAGAAGCCCCAAACAAAACAAGAGTCCCTATAACCAATGGCCGCCAGCAGTGCTGCTGCAGGGCCCCCAAGTTCACCCCACACTCTGAGGAAGAGCTGCAGGGCCAGGGAGGAGGTGGACTGAGCTGGTGGGTATCCAAAGTTCAGTTCAACCAAACTAGCTCTGCTTTAGTCGTTTTATAAATCAGCTTCTGCAAATGATTTCATTTGAAAAAAGGGGCCATTAAAATGTTTAAAATCCCCTGCAACAATTTGATGACACTGAATAGGTTCTCTGATCATTTTTAAATGTCCAAGTAATGCTGTAAAGCTGTTCTGAATATTTATTACATATCTTTCTGTAATAAAAGTCGAGACTGCCATGTAATTTATACTTAATTTTTAAAAATCTGGTACAGAACATTATCGGTGAACAACCTTCATTCTAGAGGTAAGTCAGCAGCCAACTATTCCCAAGGCCAACCTTGTAATGAAGTAACCTTTGGGCCTCACCACCCCTGGAGCTTTAAATACATCTACTGAAAGGCTTGTGTGAGTACATTCCTCACCACCACAATCAGAAAACACTAGAGGTCAACAACCCGAGAAGATGACAGCTGTAGTTTTAAGAAACAAAACCCAAACAAGCTCCACAGTGGGGTCGCGAGTCAATCACATGAATGGTAGCCGGCTATCAGTTGGCCGACCCCTGTTGGGTCTGAAGGGAAATCTGTCATTGGGGCCACCGCGCCCTGGCAGGATGGGGTTAGGTCCTGGAAGTGGGCCAATTGGATCAAAACGTGGTCTGAGTGGAGGGAACTGGCCGGGTGCTGCCCCCGGCCCAGGGATGAGTGAATTGATTGGGTTCCCAACATAGGGAAGTGTTAGTCTTTCATCAAATTCACCACCAATAATTCCTGGAGGAAGGAGCGAGCTAGGAGGGAAAGGCCTGGGGTGGAAGGGATTGGGGTAGAATGGGTTGGGGTGGGGTGACGATGGCGGCAGGAACATCATATGCCGAATTCTCTGAGCTTCTTTTCTTTGTTTGTGCTTCTTCTTGTACAACTGAAGAAAAACAATAACAGGATCTGGTAAGTGGCTGGGATGTCTCCCCAAAGTTCCAACCTGCTTTCACTGTACAGAGCTGTCCTTTCCTTTTCCCACACTATCAAGCAGACCAAAAACCAGTGCATAGAAACGAACTTTCACCATTTCTTTGTAAGTGAATAAGGTAGTGGCTCTGAAAACAATACCGATGAGCTCTAGTCTTTACACTGCAACCGAGCAATTGTGCCAACCTGGAGCAACAATACATCCAAAGGACGGATAACTGAGTGGCATGTACTTTCAAGACTGCAACCCCGAGTGCCCAAGCTAACAGGCAATCTTAAGTCAGCCTTTTTTAAAAGTAGCTAAGTTAATTATTTGTTGAAAATATCATGCCATAAAATATAAAGGTGTTGGGGGGTGAGGTTATTATTTTTCACTTAAATTGTGTCCCTAATCTCCATTTAAACAAGATGAAACAGATGCCCATTTTAGAGGATGGAACATATTTTGTACATATTTGAATACTTTCATTGAATTTTATTCTTCTCTAGTCCTTCCTCCCAAGTTTTTCTCAGTCCTATCAACGTCTTTTATAGTAGGCATCAGCAAATAAAATAACATCACTTTTTCTTAATGTACTATTCTAACTAGCAGAACGGCTAAACACTATTCCAGCACAAAAGCAACTCACTTTAAAAAAAATCTTCTTTGGAACAGAAGAAGAGAGAATGTTTTATTAAGGTGAAAAATAATCAGTGTGTTAAAATTTACTTCCTGTGTAATTACAAGAAAACGGACTGAGTTTAAAGTAAAAGTTGAAAACATTTCCATTTACTGAAAATGAGCAATAAATTTAATGAAAACAGATTACATCATAAAAAAGTGAAAACTGCCCATAATGTACTAATCCACTAGTTATTTCTGTGTTGTGAACATTAGCCTTGATATTTGCAAACACTTACTTCTTTCCAATCTGTGTCTCGAACTCTAACAGTACCATCTACAAAGGAAAAACAAAAAATAAGGGTTTAAAATGCTTCATTCATCCAGCATGAAACAGCAAGTTTGCTTCTGTCCAAAGGAAATGAAAGCATCCTCATTAAGCAGAAAAAGGAATCCATCCTTGGTTTAACACACACACTACCATTTATACTTTCTTAAATATATATATTTTATTGATTTTTTACAGAGAGGAAGAGAGAGTTAGAAACATCGATGAGAGAGATGCATCGATCAGCTGCTTCCTGCACACCTCCCATTGGTGATGTGCCCACAACCAAGGTACATGCCCTTGACCGGAATCGAACCTGCGACCTTTCAGTCTGCAGGCTGGCGCTCTTATCCATTGAGCCCAACCGGTTAGGGCTATACTTTCTTGAGCCTAACTCAGATCCTCTCTGGACGGCTGAGGGCAGCCGGCACTGCTCTGTGCTACGTGGCTCAATGCAGTGACTCCCTCAGGATGCAGAGGGCTGCACGGCTGTTCTCTCCTGTGCTAACTGACCCACACTACGCCGTCTCCCACTAACGCCATCTAGTGTGTCAGCTGCTTCTGACCACAAGTCTCATGTCACACTAACCCAGGTGACAACCTCGAGTGTCTGTATTACAGCTCATGGTCATTACTGGAGGTCAAGCTGGTAAGGTTTTCTTCCATAACTGGGTTAGATTTTCTCCCAAACATGTTCTGAATGATTCGACTCTCAGAAATTTGATCATAACTAATTTTCAATGTACTTACTTAAAATCTGTGAAATGAGGAAAAGAACTCCTTTTAGTGACGAGTTTGGATAAAAGAGAGTGATGTCTTCTCTAGATGTTATTACATTGGCATGGAAGAAAAAGTTATAAAAGCTCCAGCCCCATAACATTGTATGTACAGGGAAATTCAAGAAAAAAATATGAACACTCAGCTTACAAATGAGCTTGTGGACCACAATCTGGAAATGAGGTAGAGACTGATTGTATTTTAAACCTGAACTCCAATATACAAGTAAAAAGTATTTGTTCCTTTCATGGGTATTTTTATCATAGCCTGCTTTTTTTTGGTTGGATCTTCCATATATGTTGGTCATTTTGTCTTTTCATTTTGACTATAATTTTTTAAATTTCTGAGATGACATTTCCTGCCTCCAGGGACAAAATAACATTTTAAACTTTGGATTCAGGAGCAGAAACAAAGAATGAGGACCTCAGGAATCAAGAAGGAAGACAAGGAAAAACCAGGTCATTTGCACTTTCTACATTTTGAAGCTTTAAAAGAAACAAAATTTGACAATCCAAATGACTCTACATGTACTTTTAATTTAAAAAAAAAGAGAGAGAAAGGGGAACCTACCCATACATGTTTACTAGAGTGGTACATTATCATATATAGCACCATCATTCAAACTTTTTTATTTTACACTGTAACATGTAAGATTTTTTTACATTTATGTATCTATATAACTAAAATATAAGTTTACTCCTATTTTATAAAGTGCTGCTGACTTTTCTGTCTTTTTTTTGTAAAATGACCCCTTAAATTGATTTTTGTGACCCACCCAGAGTCAAACCACAGTTTAACACTGATAGGTAGTAAAATGGTGGTGACCGAAAAGAAGTTCCACACTCAGGCTTCCACCCTTGTATCTGGAAACCCTGTGACATTTTAGAGAACTCTCCTCAGCCCCAAGTTCCACTGTCATCACTGCTGCAATGATGACCAGGTCACCTTAAATGTGACAATGCAGAAATACAGCTTCCCCAGCAACACGCCTGCCACAGCAGAGCAAGACTCTGTCCACTTGTACTCTGGTCACAACCTAGAAGTAGTTAGAAATGCAGTGGATTTCTAAGTCAGACACTGAGGATGGCCGATAGAGAATAAACCTATCTCACGTCCATTTTTCTATCCTGTCTGCTTAGTCTAAGTGGCTATTTGAGGAGAGTTTTCAGGAAATAGGCAAAGGTTTATGAAGCTTAGAATCTCTTTACTATAGGCTGTATGTTATGATTATTTGCTACCCTAAAAAAGAAAACCTATAACTAAAAACTTCTGGCAAGCTGAATCATTAAAAACTAAGACCTCAGTAAGAAAGAGCCCCTTTCTTGTTAACATGTCATCATGGAAATCACCTCGAAAGTCCCGCAGATATAAACACCTCCACAGAAGTTGGTCATTTGACGCGATAAAGAGGTCACGACAAACTGCAGACAAAGACAGGACAGAACGAACGTCCAGAAGTCGAAAGATCCGTAGTTTCAGCTCCAATGGAAGGACTACCAACCCAAATACATCTGGGAGGTTCAGTGCTAAAAGGAGAAAAAGAACAAGCGTCTCTGAGTAAAAAACATCCAGCTTTCCCCACACATTCAACAAAAGCAGGCAATTCGTTCCTTTATAGAGAGGTAACAAACTGGGTGGTGGTCTCAATTATCCAAGCACACACATCTACAACAAATTTTTAACCCCAGGTTAACTAGATTACTACTACTAAGCCCCTTCTTTGTTCCCCTGTTTTAGTGGAAAGACAAATACTGTTTAATACAGATAGAAAAAATAATTCTGACAATTTGTAGATACTAGTCAATGGCTTCTTTTAATTCTCTTCTCAACTACAGAAAATGGATAATTCACTGGCTTTTATAACTGGCTCCCAATGCTGCCACTTATTAGCTGTGTGCTTTTGGACAAGTTACTTAAACTCTGCCTAACTCAATTTCCTCATCTGTAAAATGGGTTAATAACATTATCTACCTCACTAAGTTGGGAATTAAATTTATTAATACATATAGTGCTTAGAACAATGTTTGGCACACAATAAGCACTCAGGTATTAGCGATTACTATTAGGCAGGCTTAAAAAAAGGAGGTAGAGCCCAGACGGTATGGTTCAGTGGTTGAGCATCAACCTATGAACCTTTTGGTGTACAGGACAATGCTCCAACCAACTGAGCCACACCGGCCAGGGCAAGTCACTGCGATTTTTAAGTATTTTTTACTACAACACAAATAAGAGCAAGCTGACTATACAAGAATCTTGAGTGAATATAAACCTCACTGAATTATTGAGTTTCACCATCTATACAATGAGAATAAAAGCTACTTCAAAGTTGTTAGCATTAAGAACACATGTGAAATATACAAAGTACCTAGCATAGAGACCCAATAAATATTAAAAAAAAACTTAGATGCAATTTACAGGCTGTACATTATTTATGTGTTATTGAATGTATTATGGGCCAGACCCTGTGCTAGGCCATGAGAATATAAAAGTGATTAAGACATATTCCCTGCTTTCAAGTATTCACAACCTTAGGTGGAAAGAAATTATATCAACAATTATTATACACTGAATAAAGAGCTACAATAAAGATATGTACACAATGCTATGGAACTACAAAGAGGGAGTGAATAACATTTAAGGAATTAACATTTAAGCTTAGTCTTAAAATCAGAGAAGAATTTCACTAGGAGGAGAAAAGAGGGAAGAGTCATGAGCACAGTACTTTAAATTTACTATTCTTTCTAGCCATTGACCTGTGATCATTTATCACCTCTCACCTTGTCGGGTAAAAGCCAGAAGAGGATACACCAGCTGGTCTTTGAAGAGGCGAGAGAGTTTCTGAAGATCTTTGTAGATGTTGGCTACATTTTCCCCTAGAATATTTAAAATAAAAAATCAAATAGAAAATCAAGTGGAAAAACTTGAAATGGTATCCTCTACTTCAGCCAAACCAATCAAAGAGGTAAATAAATTTTCACAAATAATTCCAACACAGATATAAATCAAAATCTCCAATAGACTAGGGAGTATATAGCGTGAGACTCTGAAAGCTAAAATCCCATATCCAATGAATTGAGCTGTACCAATCTATACAGCTCATAGGCTATAATTTGGTAGGGAACACTAGATATACTGACCTAGAGGCCCATGCACGAAATTCGAAATTCGTGCCAAGAGTAGGCCTTCCTTACCCCCGCTGCCAGCACAGGCTTCCCTCACAGCCCCAGCTTTTGTCCGGAAGGATGTCCTGAAGAACATCTGGTCTAATTAGCATATTATGCTTTTATTATTATAGATATCTACCAATCTACTCTGAGCACTGGGAATGCAGTGGGGAACTGCTCTTGTGGAGCTTAGATTTAGTAAAAAACAGTGTTTATAACATGACTACAACTGTGTCGAGCAGTTTTTTTTAAAATATATTTTATTGAGTTTTTACAGAGAGGAAAGGAGAGAGATAGAGAGTAGAGAGTTAGAAACATCGATGAGAGAGAAACATCGACCAGCTGCCTCCTGCACACTCCCCACCGGGGATGTGCCCGCAACCAAGGTACATGCCCTTGACCGGAATCGAACCTGGGACCTCTCAGTCCGCAGGCCGACGCTCTATCCACTGAGCCAAACCGGTTTCGGCTGTGTCGAGCAGTTTTCAAGCCTTCTTTAGAATCAGCAATTCTCCCTCAGAGATAAATACTATTATTCCCACTTTAAAGACAGGACAAGATATAGAGAGCCCATCCAAGGTCTTAGAGTAAGTGGCAGAGCAGGGTATAAGGCTAAGTAGAGCTCCAAAGCACTCACATTAGCCACTAAACTGTTACCAAAGTGTGGTCCATGGATCACCTGTATTGACATCACGTCGGAAATGTTTCTACATATTGAATCTCAGGACCCACCACAGACCTACTTAATCAGAACCTGCATTTTAATAAAATCCCCAGGTGATTTTCATGCACATTACAGCATGTACACTGTCAAATTGTGCCTAGAGTTCCCACTTCAGTTTTGCTATAAATTTACCAAGTGTATAACCTTGAACCTTCTGATCTATACCTGTTTGCTCACCTGTTTAAAGACATCACCACTGCACCAGATAAGTGTAGTTAAAATTTAAAGCTACATGCACAGTGCCTAGTATTTATCAGTAGATAATCAATTTATGCTTGCTCCCTCCCCAGTCCATATGTATGCAACTCACTATTCTATATAATAAAAGCATAGTATGCAAACTGTCCCCTCAACTGGGAGTTCCTCCAGGAGTTCACCAGGGAACTAGGGGGCAGGACCAGCTGGGGGAAGGGAGGGAGGCCCTGGCTGGCAGCCACTAAGGACCCCCTACCAGTGCACAATTTTCATGCACTGGGCCTCTAGTCTATAATAAAACATGCATAACTTGATAATGAATAAAAAAAATATGCAGCTAAACTCTACATCTTTATTGCATGAATTACAATCTTGAGTTTAAATCAAATTTCAAGATATTTTTTTAATATATTTCATTGATGTTTTACAGAGAGGAAGAGAGAGAGTTAGAAACACCGATCAGCTGCCTCCTGCACACCTCCTATGGAGATGTGCCCGCAACCAAGGTACATGCCCTTGACCGGAATCGAACTTGATACCTTTCAGTCCGCAGGCCAATGCTCTATCCACTGAACTAAACTGGTTAGGGCAAATTTCAAGATATTTAAAAAATAAATTTGGGAGGAGAAACTAAGATGGCGGCATAGATAAATAGATAAACATTGCTGCCTCCCACAACAATTGAATAATACTTCAAAAACACAAAACGGACATCATCCAGAACTACAGGAAGGCTGGCTGAGTGTAAATTCGTAAATTCT